AAAAAAAAAAAAAAAACTATATATATATATATATATATTTACACAATGAGTTTGAAGTTTAGTTTAGATCGAACTTAAATTTAAAAATGTTTTTATTTTTATTTTGAGTTTAGAATTTTTAAATTTTTTAATTAGTTTTCAGTTAATTAATTATTAAGAAATTATGATGTGAAATTTTATAATTAATTTCAAAACTAATTTAATTTAATTATTTCAAATGATTTAATAGAAAATTAACACAAATGAAAAAAAAAAAAAAAAAAACTTAAAACTCAAAAAGAAAAATCTTGAAATTTATGAATAAAAAAAACGAAAAAATAAAAATAAATAAATAAATTTTTAACTCAAAAATCAAATAGGTAAAATTGTAGTTTTCTTAGACCAAAAAAGATATTTTCCCATAACATTGTACTGAAAAATAGAATCCTCCGTAAGAATCCAACAGAACTGTTTGAATTAATAAAAATGTGCCCTATCTTCAATTTTTAAATTTTTTAATAACACTCTTAAACTCTAAAAAAAAAATAAAAATATTTAAAAATATTATTAAAGTTTTAAAATTTATAAATAAATAAATAAATAAAAGGAATGGGTATGGAAATGGCGTTGAATTGGCCCCTTCTCTCTGGCAGCATTAAATGCTATTTCCCTTAAATCCCTAATGTTCTTTCATCCACTGCAAATAAAATGTCAAAACATTCCTGTCACGCTCTCAACTATTCCTCTCCCATGCTTATCATATAATATATATATATATATATATATATTTTATATTTTTCGTGTACGAATACCTCTTATCTTACTATAATATCTCTCTCGAGACCAGGACTGTTCATCACAACAACTAGAACGTATTTAACTAAATAAGCTTATCGAGTTTAATTCAAATTTTAACCTTATTTAAAATATAAAAAATAAATCAAATAGAAGATTAAAAAAAAATAAAAAAAATGGAGAAATTCAAAATTTTGAATTGGGGTCTGTGTAACAGAATGCCACTCATTCAAATTTCTGGCTCTTGTCTTCTTAAGTTTTGTTCTTTGCTTTGTCTTGAAAGGCACGTGAATGTCTCATTTATTAACCCTAGGCCCAGCTTCCCTTCCCTTCCCTCCCTTTTTAACTCCCTTCACCATTGCATCTCCTCCTTTGGGTTTTCTCTTCTCTTATCCGCCATGGCTCCGCCTTATCGAGACTCGTTTCCTTCCAATCACGACAATCTTATTCGCTACCCTTCCTCCTCCTCCGATCGTCATCTCTTCTTCCCTACCACACCGCTCGACTCTTCTCCCTCCTCTCCGCTTTCTTTCCCGCTTTTTCCCGATCTCCATCGTTCCAACCCTGATCATCCTCACTCGTTAGGGTTCCATCACCAGGTATGACATGATACTCACCCTACTCATCGCACTAGGGCGACTATCAATAAGAGTGTGTTTGTTATGACTTTCATGACCCGTGATTTAAAATTCTTCGTATATTTGAATTGATAATCGAAAAGGGTTTTGAAATTTCCAACATCCCTACAAATTGGAAGAAACCCTTTAATTGTTTTTGTTTTGATTTTATTGTTCATAGGAGGATGGTGGGTTTATGGGCTGTGAGAATGATCAAGTTCATGAAAGCAATCAAGAAGTGGAAACTGGCCTAAGCTTTACAATTTGGAAGAGTGAAACTTCAAGCAATGATCATAACCATAACGATTCGGTCAAGTGGTCGTCTTCTTCCTCTTCTTCGTCTTCCAAGATCAGGTTGGTTATAAATTATAACCAAACCGAGACGCTCGCCAAGACGATCGATGCCCACCGGAATTTCCAAGATCTCAACCCGATGTCACCGTCACCGTCACCATCCCCGTCTGATCAGACCAACAAACGAAACGCGTTAAACGACGGCGGTGGCGCAATTATCAGAACCTGTTCCGATTGCAACACCACAAAAACTCCCCTTTGGAGAAGCGGCCCAAGAGGTCCCAAGGTAAATTCATTATATATATATATATATATATATATATATTTGTTGGGTTGCAAAATTGAATGAATTTCTAGGGTTTGTAAAATTTGGAGTTATATAATATAATACCAACTGGTGCAGTCATTATGTAACGCCTGCGGAATCCGGCAGAGAAAAGCAAGACGAGCAATGGCGGAAGCGGCGAACGGCGGAAACCCGACGGCGGTAGTTTTGAAAACAAACAAGGCAATAATAAAACCAGCGGCGACAATGAAGAGAAAACACAAAGAAGTGGTCGCCGCCACCACCGCCACCACCGCCGCTGGGGGTGGAGGTAGAAGGAAGCTTTGTGTTGAAGATGTGAAAATGGGGAGGCGATTGAACGAGATTGCTTCAACTTACCAACGAGTTTTCCCGCAGGATGAAAGAGAAGCTGCCATTTTGCTCATGACTCTATCTTATGGGCTTCTTCATGGTTGAATTTTATTTTTTATTTTTAACTTATTATATGTTTTTTTTTTTTTTTTTTTTTTTTTTTTTTTTTTTTTTTTTTTTTTTTTTTTTTTTTTTTTTTTTTGTCCTAGTTTATGCCCTTATAGTTAAATGCTCATGCATTTTGGGAATGGAAAGTTTTCAAATAATTGGAATGAAAACGTTGAGGAAATTATGTATTTGTATTAATTAGTTTCATTTAATCAGAAAATTTCGTCCAAATTAACCTATATTACTACTACTTAGACTTAAATAAAATTATATTTTAATCGTGGGAGGAATATTTTAATGGGTTTTGATAATAAATAAATTAAAATAAAAAGAGTGGCAAAAGTGTAAATAAAATAGAGTGGAAGGATAGAAAGGGAAAAGGGTAAGAAAACAATAATTGAGACGATGGCGATGATACACAGAGCTGGAAAAACAGCTTTTGTTGTTCCGGTTATGTAAAGTCGTCTCCATATCACCAAATTCCGCCCTCTGCCCCTAATGGTCCTCTCATCTCTCATCTCTCTCTCTCTCTTTATTTTTAGTTATTTATATATATATATATATTTACTTTACTTTTAAATTTATGACTATTTAGTCATTAAATTATATAAAAAAAATGAGAGTTTAATGATTTATTATATATTTTTTGAAATATGTGGACTGAACCAACATAATCTTTGAAATTGAGGGTTAAAACTGTAATTTAAACTTAATTAGAGATGGATTTGACGAGCAACTTTGTTACTGACCATGTGTCACTTTATCTGTCTTGAGTTGTTTACCTGGATGAAAACTAATCTCTAAAAGCTAATGTCTGTCCTTTGTTCTCTTTTGTCTCTTAATCACAAAAGGAAGATTCATCTAAAGAGGGACTCACGTTTGATCAGCTAGTTGGTGAGACAATAGTTTACCAAGACAATGATTAGTACCTAGTTCAAAAGGACAATCAACTACGCTAAGACTGAGACACGACCCATACTTCTACAGGAGGCAACAATGAGGAATTTTTTGCAATGGGTGAAGGCTTGATAAGCAATGTCGTGTGGAGGTAGAAGGGATGCGAGTCGTGAACTTATATTCCTAGAGAAGATGCAATGATGGTATTTGGGGAATAAACTTACTTAATAATATGAACCATTACAGTTCTCACTAGAAATGAATGCGCACGTGGTTAGTATATATCATTGAAATGATTAAATGGTCTGAGATGGAACGAAACTCTGTTTATAAGTGTATGAAAGTTTTTTCATAATCGACGTGTAATTGGGAAGTACACAAAGAACCATATCGATTTATTTTTTATTTTATTTTTTGTTAATCACTCATGGAAGTGAGATTATTGCTGTTTGTTGTTGGGAAAGGCATCCTTGTACTTCAAATACAATGAAAAATAATTCATGCCTTCGTCAAATACCTTAACGTCCTTTTTTCTATTTATTTATTTTTTAATAACAAATAATTGTCAGTGGTCCCTTGTCCAAGACAAAAAGATGCCGACAGAATTTACAAAATAATTTGTCTTTTTAAAGTAAAAATAATAATATGAGATATATACATGTTGGTACGAAAATTAAAAGCATAAACATAAATAAATAAATATAAATTTAATTTAAAATATATATATATATATTTTAGGAAAATAAATACATTTTAAATTTAATTTGAATATAGTTTTTATTATTTTATTTTATTCCCCAACTTATCACCATTTTGGTATAATTTAAAGAATATAAAAGGGCGGCAGCATAGTCTGAAAATTGGGATTTTAGTACAAGGGGGCGTTGCTTGGCGCGCACACGAAGACCGAGTCAAAGCTGCCATCGCCAAGCTACCCAATTTCGCCACTTTCAATGGCAGACCCACGAGCATCACTGTCATCTCTATCTTCACCGCCGTCTTTGCCTCCCAATGATCAGCTACCCAGACGCTTCAAGGTCGTCTGGCGCGTTCTACTGATCTCCAATTTCGCCCTTTCAGGTTTATTCTATAATCTCCGCCTTCTGCATTTTCGTTTTACTCGCGTTCGTGATGGGGCGTCTTTTTTTTAATCCCAATGTTGATTGTTAACCTCCCCAGATCTTCGAACTTGAAATGATTCTGAGAGATGTGAAATGGAGTTTGTGATGGAAAAAAACTGTGTGTTCAATGTTTTAGTTCTGGCACGCAAGGTGTTTGATGTAATGACTGAGTTGAATTTCTTTGTGTGGTTATGAAATATGTTGCTAATTGCTATTGCCGCGGTTTCTTGGCGGAATATCCTTGTTTGTTCTGTCTAAATGCTTCTTTTTCGGCAAGATTGTTGTCAATAGTATTAATTAACACTCCATGTTCCAGCCACATTAGGTAAAGTGGACGCTTTCTTTTATTGAGGGAAATGTATATGTACAAGCAGTCCTATTGAAGTTGTTATTCCCTGATCTTTATGTTTTAATTCAAAAGAGAAGATTGCTGAGAAAATGTGTCGATAATCTACCATGGCGTGATACTATAGCCACCGTAGCGTCGTTGCATATGCATAGACTGATAGAAGTTAGCTAGTATGAAATTGGTCTAAGTTATTTCTTAGTTCTTCCAGGTTCTGCACCTTCTCTATGCTCCACTTATATTATTGAACTTTACTTGTTAGAGTTTGACTCTTAGCTACACACAGGGATTTCTTCTAAGATATGGGGTCATTCGCTGTTTATGAGGGAGGGACATGCATTAGGATTTTCGAGTATGGTAAGCTTGAAAATTAAATTTGTGATATTCCACCCCGAAGATACCTGAATCAAAGGGCGTAGGAATGCTTGTTCAAAGTCGTGATTCCTCCATTCGATTTTGAGAAATATTTTCATTTCTATTTATAGAACATCTCAAATCAGATACATAACCAATTAATGATTCATGAAAGCCGTTTTTCTTTTAGATTGTGATATGTTCAATTCACGTCTTACAAGTTCTTTTGAATTTTCAAATTAATGTTTGAGGAACCTTGCTTCAAGAGGAGAGAAAGAGGAAGATATAGTCTCTCCATATTCTCATTTAAGCAAGGTACAACCTTAGATGATGCCTTTCTCATGTTGTCCATTGGCTCGAGTTAGTCGAGAACTAGCTTATTGATGAGGCGATAACCAAGATCAGCTATTCAATTTTCATTTCCGGATGAGCCAGGCAAAAGTTACAAGTCTTGAGTCTGGATTCTTAATCCAAGGGTACTGCAGGGATTTTAAAACATCTCAATCTCCTTGCTCTGATTCCTTCCTTGACATAATGAATTTTTTTTTGTTGTCACTTCCTTTAGAAGTTATGCTTCCAGTTTCATTTTCAACGCGGTAACACGTTGTAAATCTCTGGATATTGATCAGTATGGTGCATTTCCTGTCTATGGAAAATCTTTTGAAATCACTTCCTGAGCTCTATGAAGAATATTCCATATCCAATTAGAATTTTTGAGACAGAGTAAATAACCTCGCGTATTTTATGCAATAGAGGCAAGAGCATATATATAGCCACTTCATGATACATGTGTCAAAGTATTAGTTATACAAAGTATTTTCAAAAGAATTCAGAGGATTTTGAACACAGACATTGTTATTGGTTCGATCGCTTCGAGTCAGCTCATTTCAAAGCCTCTTTGGTGTTATCTACAACTTTTTTGATGGTTTTATTTACAAGATATTTTCTAAATTGGAATGCTTTTATCCTTTGTAACTTTATTTTCGTATTCTTTGATCCCTAACTCTTTTCATATCTTCAATGAAAAGTTTTTCTAGAATTTCAGTAGGAGGAACATTTACTGCTGCCACATGACAGCATTTAGTTGATTTTTAACTCAGACATGTGTTTTCAACATTTACTGCTGCAACTGATGTGTATTTCTTACCTTGCAGCCTACATGTTTGCAAGTGCAAGGAAGAAAGATTTGGGGCAAATGGAGAGTGATGAAGCAGAAAAAGATTTGGGTCAACTGGAAAATGATGGAATAGAAAAATGCAGTGATAGTGAAATAATGGAAATACCCTCAACGTTTATGGTGGATACCACTGGCATAGTTACAGAGAACATCCCGGAAGATCAGCACCAAAAACCATTCCATTGGATTGTTGATGGTTGGAGAGAAAAAACAGGTTCGAGTAAAAAATGAATTGGTAGGTTAGAAGCTGATTCTTGAACGGCTCAATGTTCATCCTCTCAAAACTGATTTGATTAGAGCTCATCCAGGTAAATATGTTATTTCAGGAGACTGATTCTTGTAGTGAAACCTTCATTAACCCGGATATCTTCTTGTAGAACTTTTACAGATTTGATTAACTGTTTAATGACGATTCAAGAGATAATCTCTGCTCTCTAAAGTTTGATTCAATGTTTGTATTTCATATTTTGATTAATTGGGCTGTTGTTGATAAACTAGTTGTATCTTGTGTTTTGGTTATATGTGTTGTATTTGATGCAATATCTACCACTTCAACGAAAGAATATATATTTAAGAATGAGAAATAGAATTGGGATCGAAGGTTCAATTTTCATTGATATTGTACAATGTACCAACAAATACTTATAAATAGGAAAAATATAAACTAATTAAATCTTGAAAATAAAATAAAATATACTACTAATCAAATCTAACTGATTACGAACCTATGAAATATATTCCCTAACTAATATATTTTTCAAATATTAAATGATTATGAATATCATATATTCTCTAACTAATTCAAACTAGAAATAAGTTGCACTAAATTCTTACCGTTTCCCTTAGTGCAAGCTTATTTCTCAATAACTTCGAGAGCCGGCATATTTCTCAATAACTCTGAGAGCCTTACGAAAAACTTCAAACTTCACTTTGTTTCCCTGTTAACAGCTTGCCTTCTTGTTTGTTCTTTAGCCGCTTCTCCTTTTCGCTTTCATAGCTCATTTTGCCTACGCTTTTTCTTCTTCATAGCGGCAGGCATTTCTGTGCTCTCTTCTTCAACTTCCTTTTCAGCTGATGCATCAGGAGGAGTTACAAGGTCAGGTGGGTTCTCAACTTTGGCCTCTTGTGAGGAAAGAGGAGGGTCGGCTGGTTTTGATATAGCAGACCCCCTCTCGTATCTAAGTAAGAATCTTATCCAAATCATCTTCTTCTTGAGACTTGGTAGCTTTTGTTGTCTGTCCATCTGACATTTCTTTTTCTACCTCTTTATCAAAATCCTTGGTCTTCACTTCTTGATTGAGGTCCTTGCTTTCCTTACACTCGTCATCCAACTGAACTGAAGATTTTAAGAGTTTTTGTCATCCATCCCATTACCTTGTTCTCTTTCACCAACCAAACTGTTTTCCAATTTGTCACCTTCGTCAGTCACAACATCACGTTCATCCTTAGAACAATTCCCCAAATCAATCGATACATCCCGACTTTCTGATAAATCAGCATCATCACTGCAAGCTTCTCTCTCTTTAGCCACATCCATGCTCTTATCCAACGACTCAGCCTCTACCACGACATTGCATTTCTGAACTTCGTCTAGATTCTCACTTTCAACCTCCCTTTGACCATTATCAGACTCCAAATGCTTTTCTTCAACCAATTTATCTTCACTCTTAGGAAACGATTCAGCTTCACATCCAGTTTCCAATTTTGGATATGGTTCGGGTTCGGGTTCAAGATTCGGTTCAGGTTCAGATGCAAGCGCAGTTTCAGGCTCTAGGGAAGGACAATTTACAATCATTGGACTCTTTGAGTCCCATCCACCAGAATGGGTCAAAAAACACTCTCTATCTGCGGTTCTTAATTCAGAAGATTGATAGTCTAGAAATTCACCTTCATTGGGGGACTGCTTGCATGAAACCGCAGAGCTCCCGGATCCTGGAGAGCATGCAAAGCTGCAAACATGAACAGTAGCGCCCCTAGAAGCTTCCTGGTCAACCTACAATTCTAACAAATTGGTAGTTTGATCCAAATCTTCGGAGATGAGGAAATCATCAGCCTCAAAGGGGAGGAAAAGACCGTCAAGATCGTCAAAGGTTAACTCGAAATCTTCATTTTCGTCAAATCCCAAATCCAAGGCCGTGAAATAAACACAAGGGTCACTAGGGGTAGCAGAATCGGCATTGGAGAAAAAATAGAGTCCAGAGGCGGAATTTGGAGAGAATCAAATTCAGAAGCGTAAGTAGTGGAATTAGAATTTTGATCTGTAGAGACATCATCTTGATATACGACTGAAGTCACGTTTGTTGGCTGATCAAGAACTTCAGTGGTTAAGCAGTATTCCCAAATTGGATTTGAAGAATTTTTACTTTCATGTACAACATTTGATTCCTACATTTTTACTCGGCAATTTGGCTTATTATGGCCTGGCTTTCCGCAACGATGACACACCACTTTCACCTGACAATCTCGTTTAAAATGGTCTGGTTTTCCACACTTGTAAAAGCTTTAAATGACTTCTTCAACGACTCCTCACTTCTGAATTGATTCTCATTGCTTGATGAAGATTTTGAATGAAAATTCTGTCTCCTTTGATCTTTGACATAGAACACATCTTCTGACTTTATGGAAAACTCTTTTCTTAATCAAGGCTTCCCGATTGGAAAGAAGATTCTCCAGTTCAATAACTGTAGGCTGATTTGCCCACTCTTGTATTGAGGAAATAAAGGGCATAAAATCTTTTCGTAATCCACAAATAAGATAATGTCAACATCACTCACTGGCTCCTCTCAGCACCTAATTTTGAAATTTCAAAACATATATTTTTCACTTTAAAAAAATATTCTTCAACAAAAAAATTACCTTGAGTTACCATAGCGAGTTCAGTCTCTAGAAATTGCAATCGAGCGGTATTTTTCTTAGTGAACAACTTTTGAAGTGTTTCCCACACTTGCTTTGGTGACTTTAAATCAAGAACATGATTCAATATACTCCTTGCTAATCAAAGTTCGCAAGGTAAATAAGGCTTTTCCGCATTTTATCTTCCATTGTCAGCGTAATTCTGCATTTTGTGGAGTATCTGTTGGAATTTCAGTGTCAATCGCCTTCAATTAAATCCCACAAATCTTGCCCTTGTAGATAAGCTTCCATGCATATCTTCCAATAACTATAGTTATTGCCAACAAACTTTTCCATAGCTATACACATAGAAGCACTTCCATCATTCATTTTTTTGAGTAATAATATCAAACTGTACCAACTTAGCTCTGATACCAACTAACACAATATTTATAGATATGAAAATATTATTACAGATTTAAGAATAAGAATATTAATTTTCATGAATGTCCCTATTTTGTAGCGAGATTTAAAAAAAAGAAAAAGATCCGGTTTTTTTTCAAAAGATGTAAATTCCTTCACAAACCCTAAACGGTTCGACCTAAACCCAAAATCGAGCCGAATCGATTGCCACCCTTTTTAAGGATTCCGGAGCAAAACCCCTAGGAGTAGAGGGCGCTGCTAGACTGAGTTTCTACCCCCAGCTTTCCTACCGGAGAGATCACCCCGACGTAACAATGGTTCGGAGCATCAAAAACCTCAAGAAAGTCAAGAGAAAAAGCAAGGTGCAGTTTCTTCCAAACCCCTATCCCTTCCCTTCTTCCAACTCCGATTCTTCTATCCTATGAGCTTTGGGAGTTTTCTAACCTCTGAAAATCGTTTGTTCGTTCGTTCGCAGGGTTCGAGGAATGGGGCTGGAGCGTCTTCTTCCTCAGTACCGTCAATGCCCGCAAAGGTCTGGCAACCGGGGGTGGATAAGTTGGACGAAGGAGAGGAACTTCAATGTGACCCCTCTGCATACAATTCTCTCCATGCCTTCCACATTGGTTGGCCCTGTTTGAGGTATTGTTAATTCTTTCCTTACCTGTCGTCTTTGATGTTCGAGTTCGAACATGATGGTTGAAATTTAAGTTTAGCTCTAGATTAATCGGAAACGTAGATTTTGGTGAATTTCTCTAACCAACGTTGGAAAATCAAAGGGTTAAGTTAGATTGTCATTTGTTAATTTCGTTTGCCCAACTGTTAACTTTTTAGGATTTTCAGCCTGTTGTGGCGACTGAGCTATTGATGATTGGATTTGGTGTAATGTGTCGAAATTTAATATTTCTGCTTGAGAAACATAAAGTATCGTAGAAAAGCTTGGTCTCTAAGGGATGGTTTAAGCATTATTTCTCTTGAATATTTGGGAAAGTCATAGCTATTCCAGTTAGTCTATTTATATATTTGGCTCTTTTTACTTTCCAGGACTTTAATGGTCTCATTATTTAAGGATTTAAATTTACATTTTGAATTGTTTTTATGTTTATAGCTTCGATATTGTTCGTGACTCGTTAGGCTTGGTGAGGACAGAGTTTCCACACACTGTTTATCTTGTCGCAGGGACTCAGGTGAGTTTGACTAGTGGAAGAACCTTTTATCATGTCTGAGTTGTTAATTCTTTTCCGGAATAGGACAAGAGGTGTCTTTCTTATTTTGAAATATGGTATTCTGAGGACGTACACGTTTTAATGGGGAATGGATGTATATTTGGTGATCTTTTCAGAGAATAAATTGGTTAAGCTAAATATTTATAAAAAAGGGACTTGTGCTTTCTACTACAAGATTTTCAATGCTTTTATTGCTTTTACCAGCTCGTCGTTGTTTTCAATTTAAGGCATTATTTCAAGATATTGTGGTATTTTGTTTGCAGGCTGAGAAAGCTTCATGGAATTCCATTGGAATATTTAAGATATCTAATGTGTCTGGAAAGAGACGTGAACTATTGCCCAATAAACCAGAGACGGATGATGCTGACATGGACAGTGATAGCAGTGACAATGATGAGGACAGTGAAGATGAGGAGGATGGTGGATCTAAGGCACCAATTTTGCAGGTATTATGTTAAATTAACAGTTTTTTCTTTGCTACCTGTTTATGTATCTTACTATGATTCTAATGTGTTTATATTCACTCTTTTTTCATCTACAGCTGCGTAAGGTAGCTCATGAAGGTTGCATAAATCGTATACGTGCCATGCAGCAAAATTCTCATATATGTGCATCTTGGTCTGATAGTGGCCACGTTCAGGTTAGACTTGATTTATACTCTCTAATTCTCGAGTTTGTCCTTGTGTCTTGTAATGCTTCAAGAACGATTACATGTACCTTTGATTTTGTTTATTTTTGCAGGGAGAGTTTCAATTCTATTTCATTTTATTCTATGAAAAATTACCATGCTTTTGGAGTGAACAAAAAGTTCCTATAATTTTTAAAACTAGGCATTTCCTATTCTCTTTAGCTTTTTATATAGTTTTTTTTGTCTGTACATTTTTTCTGGGTATGCAGATTTGGGACTTCAGCTCGCATCTCAATACTTTAGCCGAATCAGAAGCTGAAGTTAGCCAGGGAGAATCTTCAGTTTTTAATCAGGCTCCATTAATGAAGTTTAAGCACAAGGATGAAGGTTATGCTATAGACTGGAGTCCACTTGTTCCCGGAAGGCTTCTATCTGGTATGCATTTGCCTTCTTGCCATGGAAACCAGAAAACTTGATGACTTTTGGTGGCTGTTTTCTATTGATACATTTTGTCATCTTTGCTAGGGGACTGTAAAAACTTTATTCATTTGTGGGAGCCTTCGTCTGGCACTTCATGGAATGTCGATGCCGCTCCATTTGTTGGACATTCTGCAAGCGTTGAAGATCTGCAGGTATACTGTAATTCTGAACTATCACATTTCCTTCAAAAAAATTAATTCTGGCAACTGCTAAATTTGAATTTATGCAGTGGAGTCCTACAGAACCTCATGTATTTGCCTCCTCTTCTGTGGATGGGAATATTGCAATATGGGATGTCCGTTCAGGGAAGTCTCCTGCCGCCTATTTTAAGGCACACAATGCAGATGTGAATGTTATTTCTTGGAACAGGTAGTTATAAGTTCGGTAACCTCTCCGTCTTTGTTTCGTTTTTCTTTAATGTGGCTTATGCAGTTATATTATGCCATTAGGCTCGCTAGCTGCATGTTGGCATCTGGCTGTGATGATGGAACATTTTCTATTCGTGATCTCCGATTGCTTAAGGTAAGTCTGTTAGACTCAAAGAAAACTTAAATATAAGCACGTGTGCAGTTTACACCTTACAAGCATATGTTCCCTCCACAAACAACACGATAGAAACCACATAGCTAAGGTATATTGAGATATAAAAGATTAGGGAATTATACAATATTTACTTGCCTCTCCACAGAGCCCAACCTTTCTATTTATAAGGAACTCTTTATGCAATATATCTTGCTAATCACTATATTATTGCAGGCAATTAAGTCTCGACACTATACCGCCTGTTTATGACTTGTCCTTCGTACCTGTAGAAAGTGTTGCTGTAACAGTTGTCATTCTCTTTCCTCTGTTATTGGCAGGAAGATGATTCTGTAGTAGCGCACTTTGAATACCATAAACATCCCATCACGTCCATAGAATGGAGTCCACATGAAGCCTCCACACTGGCAGTGTCATCATCCGACAACCAATTGACGTAAGTCTCAACGAGAAGTTGATGAAAAGATTATTGTGTTCCCACGTCACTAAACTCGAATTGCTACAATTTTTGAACCAGAATATGGGACCTCTCTTTAGAGAAGGATGAGGAAGAAGAAGCTGAGTTCAAAGCAAAAACCAAAGAACAAGTAAATGCACCTGAAGATTTACCTCCACAACTTCTATTTGTTCATCAGGTACCTCTTTGCATCTTCCATTTTTTTTTTTGGTACTCTTTTTAACATAAGCATGCGTCTGTTATGTAAATCGACACATGTGATGATCTCAAATCTTCTGCTCACTCACCAGGGGCAAAAGGACTTGAAGGAATTACATTGGCATGCTCAGATTCCAGGGATGGTTGTTTCTACTGCTGCAGATGGTTTCAATATTCTCATGCCTTCAAACATTCAAACTACTCTTCCTTCTGATGTTGCTGCTTGAAAGTTGAGATGAACGTCCGTTTGTTTCTTTACTACTGGAGCTGTGAGGTTAACTGTTCATGTTTTACCTAAAATTTGCCCCCACATTATAGGAGTGCCAAACTTCTTTTTTCTTTTTCCTTTTTTTTTTTTTTTTGGTTAAGGAAAGTAAGTATGATGTGTATTATATTTACAATTAAGGTTGAAAGGAATTTTGTGTTCAAAATAAGTATTCCAACTTTTGTTTTCTATTCCTGTTGTTCAAAAGAAGTCTGTTTTCTCTTTGATGCTTTAATATTTCTTTAGTCTGTGAATTCTGTGGTTTCATAGGTTCATTTGCTTATAATTTTCTCTACAACAAGCTTCAAAACTAAGAGATAAATTAATATCAACCAGCAGCTAAATTTTTAAATTTGCTCGATTTTGTTCCCTAAAAATTTAAATTACGTCCATAAACTTATAAAAATCCAATATATATATATATATTTGACGAACATATGAAGCTGTAGAGGAGACGAACTTTAAAGCCGAAAATTCAAGGAGAAGCTGACCCAATTCTCATTCTTATTGGGCTTCTCTATTTTCGTCTTCCTCGCTGCGAATCTTAAAAACAAATGGCCATTGTTTTGTTTGTCCACTCCCCATTTCTCTGCTACGAATTAGTGAGTAACCACCATTTCTGTATTTTGTTTTCCTTGAAATATCAGTCGATTTCTTCTTCTTCTCATTCTAGTAGCGATTGCGAGGAATGGCGAGCTATCTATATCTATGGAGGAAGCACGCAGGTTATGTCTAACACCAAGTGGGAAAGAACGATTCTCTGGGACATGATCGATCCGTATAGGCCTCCGAAATCGTTTGCGCCTTTGGTTACAGTACAATATATATTGGCGCTGCCATTACCGATCAACTCTACAAGGTAATTTTGGTAGTGTCGCGTTCAATTATTTTTCTTCTCATGCAATTTATGGTTTTACTTAGCATGTGTGGCAATTTCGTGTCATTTTGATTCTATTCAATTGACGCCGAAACTGTGAATTAAGCCGATTGAGACATCGATGAAAGGGAAGTTGATAACTCCATTGTTTATATAGGAAGGAATTGATGTTCCTTGCCATTTGGGAATCTGGAAGTCATTCTGCGTACACCCATGTCACCCAGTCTAGGTTTAGGTCTAAATTTTGTTTTGAACATTGAACTTGGATGTTCATTGCGATTTGGGAATCTGGAGTTTAGAGCGGGTTTAATGGTAGCCTTTTTTGGATTGTTCTTTCTTGTTGTTCTTCATACTCCCATTTTTATGCCCTTGTACCTTCTTCAATCCTTTTAAAATGTGCAGGAGAAGTATTGGGAAGATCACCCTGGGTAAGCTCTACCTTCAATGAAACCATAGTTTTAGAAGTGAAAGCTCAAGCACTCGCCATTCTCCTCCTGGTTCATACTTGAAACATGGTATGGTAATCTAATTCATCTTAGTGCTTTTCATTGTTGAAACTCAACATCTCATTCATCCTTCATATCTCAACAACGCTCTTAAAGCATGAGCGGCACAATATTGGAGGATTATCCTCAAGCCAACTTCTATCAGTCTCTTTGGACTTTCCCTTTCGAAGTAGAAGTTTCCATACCCTTTGTTTTATTCTTCTCCCCAATCGACGTGGGATCTAAAACTACCTGCAAGAGATTGTTCATCCTTCATATCTCAACAAGGCTTTTAAAGCACGAGTAGCACAATATTCGAGGGTTATTCCCAAGCCCACCGCTAGCAGATATTGTTTTCTTTGGACTTTCTCTTTCGAGTTTCCTCTCAAGGTTCATAAAACGCGCTTGTTAGGGAGAGGTTTCCACACCCTTCAAAGAATGTTTAGTTCTCCTCCTAATCGATGTGGGATCTAACACTATCTGCAAACTATCTGCAAGAGATTGTTAGACTTATAAAGAAACAGATCCTAGTTACTGTGTCCTAGAGGTTAAGAAATCTAGGCTGAGAGGCACTGCCATATTGATGACCCATAAGGGTTAGATAGCCCGTTTAGATTATGAGTTTCTGGTTTCATTCCTGATGTTTCACTTGACAAAAGTATTGCTAAATTCTGGTTGATGAGAAGAACACAAATTTTATTCGTATTCTTAATTTAGTTGTTTGATATGAACGTCTGGCTTACATAAAAAGTAGTTTCCATGGGGGAAAAATACCAGTCTGTAGCTTCCATATCTGTTTTGGCTGATGATTTTACAGTTCAAACATTAGTGGCACATAATATTCTCTGTTTTTAGAACAAAGTATTTAGGCTCTGCCAAAAATGGTTCTTTTTAACCTCTCTCTCTCCCCCATATATGGCTATGGTTTAATGGCGCCTTCAGCCTTCTCCCTCTTTCTCTCTCACCTCCTCTTCCCATCTTCCCACCTTTCCATCTCTCTAGCAACAGCCAAATAAGAGGGAATATGGCAACGTATGGAACAATCCCGACGGAGCCAGTCCCTTTATCGAACCTGCATTCCACTTCTCGTGCAAGAGAGCGCATTGCGTCGTGCCTCGGCACGCAAAGGCCATGGATGGAGATGATCCAGCTTCAAGACCTGACCTTCCCCGCATCCTCTAAGCAGCTAATCAACAGAATTAAGAACAATGCAGAGTTCTTCTGGACCAATTACATTCTCATCATATTATTCATCCTCTTTCTAAGTTTGCTATGGCAACCCATCTCATTTATGGTCTTCATCATCTCATTGTTGGCTTGGCTGTACTTATATTTCTTACACGACGAACCCTTTGTAATTCGGGGCAGGACGGTCGACGATCGATTGGTGATGGTGGTCTTAACTTTAATCACCGTTGCATTGCTTTTCTTTACACATGCAACTAAAAACATTATAATTTCTATGTCCATTGGGGTGGTGGTGGTGTTTGTGCACGGAGCATTGAAAGGGAGTGAGGATATTTTCTCGTTGGATGAAGAAGGTTTATCAGAATGTGCAGGTGGAAGAGGTGTCATCAAGATGCCTCTCAAGCACGCTGCCTCCGCTTCTTTCTCCCTATCATAGAAAAAACAAACAAACAGCGCTTTATTTTATGGCTCTTGATGTTCTAAAAGGGAAAGGAGTTTGAGTTTCATGTTTTTCCTTGTAAATTTTGTTGTTATTGTTCATAATTGACTCCCTGGGTTTCATTGTACATTAGCTTTGCTTGCTTTTGATTAAAATCTCTGTATTTTTTTAACATTCTGGAACATACCTTTTGTGTAAGAACCTAAGTCTATCGTTAGTAGATACTGTATTTTTTGGGCTTTCTCTTCTAAGCTTCTCTTCAAAGGATTTAAGACGCATCAATTAGGGAGAAGTTTTCACACCTTTATAATGAATGTTTCGTTATCCTTAATTGTTTTAATTTAGTCTCTCATATCGATTAATTTATTAGAAAGACGTCTTGAAAAGGATTTGAGTTATAATTTATATGCTTATAACTCACACTCATGGACCTTGAAACAAACGAGCCATGAAGAGGTGTTTGGGTTTACGGGTTGAATTTTGGCGGGTTTGGTTTAAGAATTAGAATCCATATTTGTCTATTGGGTTTATCAAATTTAGCGTTTAATAGGGAAACGATAGTATTCCAAACCTATTCTCTCAAACCCATTCATTTTCATAACTTTTTAAAACTCGAGCTATCCAAACAGGTCGAAAATCTTGACTCACTGATCTAGAAATATTTTAGAACCTTCAAAAAAAAGACCTAAAAGTAATGATGCTTTCGAAAGGCACTTATTTTGTAGAATCAATTGAAGTGGATAAACAAACGATCCCCCACAGAAGTTGCAAAGTATAGTGGATTGGACCTCTCCATCCCACCAGCCAAAATTCGCCGCCGTCAACCTCCACCTTCCGACCATTTACTCCGCCGCCACATCTCATTCTTCTACCTTTTCTTTCATTTTGATTCTCTCGGTTCTATACCTCTTATTTTGGGCAATTTGAATTTTATATGAGAAAATTGTATTTAATTCTCCGGAAAAGATAAGAGGATTTTTGTCTAAATTTTTGTGACCCAAATATATTTAATCATAATTTTAAAAAATAAAATCGAAAAATAATTCTCGGTTGAATCAAGATTACAATGATTATAGAGTGTCTTTTCTTTTAAGAAATTTTAAGAAACTTTAATATGATGATATGGGTCACAAAGAATTGATTTAAGATTCATATTATCATAATCCCTTTATCTTAAATTCTTAATTAAGCGTTGATTAAAATGATGTCAAAGGAATTTTTAATTTAATTTAATTTAATTTTATGATCCAAATTCATCTCGGCCTAAATCATCTCGGAAATTGTGATCCAAATTAAAAAAAAAAAAAAAAAAAAATGATGATCCATTAATTTCTCTGCGGAAGCTTTTAAAAGCCATTGAAATTCCGAAATCGTCTTTATTAACATGCACCAAACACTTCAGTTTCTTCTCTAATGGAGGAACCTCCGATAATTTCTTCCGCCCAATCACACGGCGGCGATACAATGAACCACTCTGAATTCACATACTGGCGAGATTACCTGCAGTAACAGCCTTGCTGTGTGTTCTTGCTTCACCTCCACGCCCTCCTTCTCCACCAACACGGCGGCGACGATTTTCTCATACCCTTCACCACCGCCGGAGACGTACGCTATCACCGCCGCCTGTACCGGCCCCATACTCGGATTATACGCCGCCGATTCCATGTACGGTCCTTTGTAAACTCGTCCATCGGCGTCCATCACCGCAACTCCTGAAGGACATTTACTGTACGGCGCGTGAGACACATTCGCAGCGTTTAGGGCGACGCTTTTGAGTTTCTCCCAATCGCCATTATGATTTCCGGCGGATTCGTCCGGCAGGGAAAGGCCGTTAAATCGAGGTTCGAGAATCAACGGAATGCTCTTATCAAGAAGGTCGTCGGGGCCAAATCGATGGGGGAGAAGTTCGGGGAGAGGAACGTAATCGTTCGATTTGGAACAGGATTCGATTGAGGAGACGAAGATTTCGATCTCGGCAGCGGCGCGAACTTCTTGAAGAAATTGGCGGCAATGGCCACATGGCGCGGCAGAGACGGCAAGGAAATTGAGGCGAGATTCATCGTTGAGAGCGAGATTCATGACGAGAAATTGTTCGGCGTGAACAGAGTGATGAAGAGGAAGGCCGGGGAATTCAAGATTCACTCCAAAGAACACTCTGCCGGAGGATCCGAGTCCGACGGCGCCGACGTGGAATTTAGAGATCGGCGGCCGGGCTAAGCCCTGCGCCGATTCGACCAGAGATGGAAGAAGCAGAGGGATTGCGATGCCTGATTTTTTCGCCATGGATTCCGCTTCTGATGCTTCGATTACGAACCTAGGTCCGTCCATTGCCGGCGAAAATGGCGGCGGCGGTGACGGAGAGGAGGAATAAGAGTTCGTCGGAGTACGGGGCGGAACTGATGAGAACGAATACTAGATGAGAATATAAATAGATTTTTATTTTGGATTTTAAATTATTATTATTAGAGTCGATGGACGAAAATTCATAGAAGGAACTATTAAAGGTGTTATTTATTTATTTCAGAAAATTGAATTTTTTTTTTTAATAAAAAAACAATTATTCCCAAAAAAATTGGAATTAAATAATTTGGAGATTTTAAAATATTTAATTTGTATGATAATAACGTAATGTAAATTTCATATGAAATAAAACTAAATAAAAATTAACATTTATTAAAAAATAAATTAAACTCTTAATTTTAATTTTTTCAATCGATTATTTTTAATCCTAGTTGGAGATAGCTTGTTAGCATTTTAACTTAGCTATATTTACCTACCCAGTAATGGATCCCTCGTGTAAATGAGATCCATTTCTTACCATTCTTTTTAATCTTTTTCTTTTCTTTTTTTAAATAAGGATAATTATTCAGCAAATACAAATCAACCACAATTATTGATCGACTCATTATTTTTTATGGGAAAAAAACACTGAATCATTAAGCATTAACAGCCTATCACAAACTTTAACTTCACAAAAGTAATAATAATTTTTTTTTTTTTTTGGCGGTTCTCCCGCCTCCAAGTTCCTGATGATTTAATAAATGATCTTCTTTATCTCGCATGATCCTGACGAGTCTTGTAAGATTAACAACCGTACTAGCATTCTTTGTGTACAAGTATGATGGATTGATGGTATCATAATACACCTATCAATCATTTGATTCATAAGATGCTTCCAAATAATTGGACTTCTCTTATTGGTTCACTTCAAAAGTTAGCTACTTTCACACGAATCTCTAACTTTTAGGCCTCTCTTAATATTATAAACATAATGTCTTTATTTATTTTAAATGATCGTGCGTATGTGTTTTAGTTGTAACTCATGTAGTTACTCGAGAGAAATATAAGAGAATCGTAACATTTTTTCTGAATGTGAAATTTCTGAGAATCCAACTATTTGACGATGTGTTTATATCTGAATTCCCTATCAATGTGAAATTGAGTTAAATTTGTATTTTTTTTAATTAATACTCTTATGGTAACTAAATTAAAAATATATGCCAATTTAAACATAGTTCTAACACGTGGTTAATTAAAAGGTTACAGGAACTAACAACATACATGAGCATTGAATTGGAGGGAAAATGGGGAGCGTTTGGATGTGGGGTTAGCTCAAATCCACCCATGTTTATACCGAACAGAGATATTCTGGATTTGCGCATTCTTATAGGCGGCACAGGCGACGAGATACACGAAAATCAGAACCACCACTGCGACGATGAGAACGGCGTTTGCCTTCCGCCACTCCTGGCGGAGGTTTCCAAGCAGCCCCGCCTTGCAGCCGCTGCAATCGTAACAGAGTCGGGTCCTCTCGTTGCTCCACATCAAGCAATCCGGGTCGGACGTCGGGTTTTCCGGGTTTACCCATGTCGTCGGGGTCTCGTAAGTGTATCCGCACGCCGCCGGCGGTTTGCAGCAGCCTGACTGTTGAAATATAGAGGAAGATAGGATGAGATGAAATCGGATTAGGTTTTATTGGATTTATTCGCTGAAATCCTTAGGGTTTTGGATTGTTGTTCTGCTTTTGTGATTCGAATAATGTTTTGCTTTTGGTGTCTAAATGGGGTGAGATTCCTTGAAAAGCATTGTTCCGTTCCTGTTTCTAATTCCACTTCCGAGATTCGATCGAACCTTCTTCATCTCCATCTTCATCTCCATCTTCATCTTCATCCCAAACTCCTTTTTCTTTCTGTGTCTCGGAGTTTCCATTTCCATGTCCCCTTCACAGATTCCGTGAAACCAGTTCTTCACGGATTTATCTCTCTCAATTAATTACAGTTTTGGAAAAAATAACTTAGCTAATGTTTTTGTTTTTATTAATTTAAAAATATTTATAAACTTTATACGGTTATTACTATTATTATTTTTTTACCGTAAGAATATATTATAATAATTAGTTAGGAAGTATATCTTAGATATAGATAAATAGTTAATATTTTTATTGAAGTTATTAGACAGTATATTTTATTTTATTTACCTTACTTAACAAATTTACAAGATTTAGTTAATTATATATTTTTTTACTCTTAAATATTAGTTAATAGTTTATATCATATTTTAGTTGTAAACGGAGATTACACCTTCGATCCCAATTTTATTGGGGTCGAGTTGGGTTTAGTTATTTTTTAGGCTCAGTCTAATTGTTCAAGTTTCAAACTATTTTTTATTAAATAATGAACTCGAACTATAAATTCTTTAAATTGGGTTGATTAACGTGTTCTAGTCATTTAATATTTTTAAATAAAAATAAAATGCTAGTCACATTTATTTGTTTATTTTCATTCAAAAATCATGCATAATAGTGTTATTATTTATTTTTATTCTTTAATGTTAAAAAGTTAATATTTCTTTTAGACCAAGTATTAATTTAGTAGTATTTTTCTCTCAAAATATATTCTAAAGAATAATGGTTAAGAATAAGGGTAATTCATTTTAATAATAATAATAAAGAAAACTTGCCTGAAGTGGGGAAATATCCGCCGCGAAAAACTGGTGGGCCGAGGAAAACTGCCGATCCAGCTTTGGACAGACATCGGAAACAGCCAAACACGTACGCACGTTCTGCCAACTTCCGGAGCTAGTGACGTGGTTACGGAGCCATGAGGAGTAACCGTCGAGGCGATACTCCTGGAACTGGCTACCGGCGACGGGATGGCTGCCGTCGGGGCGGGTGACGGTGAAGGCGATGACAAGGAGAATGAGAAGGAGGAGGATGAGGAGGGCCATGCAGAAGAGGTAGACAGCCAAGAAACCAGGGCGGTTGCAGTAGGCGCCGACGAAGCCGATGAGAGAGACGAGGAGGAGGAGGCCACCGAGAACCACAACCGGCCACCGGAGAAGCTGGACACACTCGTTGTCGGGCTTAGAAGCAAGCCAGATTCCGGCGGCTATGACGGGGATGGAACTTAGGAAGATTAGGAAGTTCAGAATAGCTGTTATGCGGTTGCTTACTGCCATGGTCGCTTTAGAGATATAGGGCCGACAAGGTCTATGCTGTGGTTCAAGTTTGGGAGGACTGAAATGGCTCAACCAACATGGGTGAGTTTTTATAACAACAGAATCTATTTTATTTTTTAAAAATATAACTTCACGCTTTTCCATATTTTCTTTTTTTAATTTTATGTAATTCAATCAGTTTTTATTGTGTCCATAATTTAAATTTTAATAACATTTGTTCCATATCAAATCAATGTCAATAACAATATTAGTATAATTTATTCAATTTTTCATAAATAGTTTAGGTGTAATTTGTGCAAATTTTAAAAAATAATATAAATATATATTATAGTATGACATCCGATGTACTTATCGATTTCAGGCTTAAGTTGGTGTTGATAACCGACATGTCGATTGGAATTGATAAGTTGTAATCAATTTTAAAGAGGATAGAATAGTTACACCAACTGATCAACTACACTGGCCGATTGGGTTTGTTCGACCCCAATAACCGGAATCATTCTCAAAAAATTATTGCATTTTTCTTTACCAGATAAAAAATTTAGTCTCTACTAATTTTTATATGGTTTGATAATTTTTTAAAAAAATATTATAGGTATAATTATAATTTTGAAATGAGAGAGAGAGAAAATTTGTAATTTAATTGCATTAAAAGAATTCATCACAAACCGCCCATAGTGCATGGCGATATCACGTGCTATTGCCGTCGGCTACAGACCCCAAAAAAGGTGAACCCGCGGTTTAGCCGAAACCGGAATTGTTTCGAACAAATCGCCTCGTGAAAAATGATAGTCCTTTCCGGTTCGGTCCAATGAGTTTTCCCAATAAGCTCGAACCGTCGTGGCCGTCCACGTGTTGAGGTTTTATTGGCTCAGAGATGATTCCAAAACGTGTTTAGTTTTTATTGGTTCATCGTGGGCATCGGAATTCGTTCGCGTTCAATTTTAGCCTATCGAAAACATTTAAATAACATTTTTAAAAATGCGCGAGAATCTTTTTTTTTTTTTAATTATTTTTATTTATTTATTAAAACTTAATTAGGTATTCCACAATCGTTTAAAGTTTCAAAATTTTCAATAATACATTAATTTTTTTAAAAATAACTAAAAAAAATATTTGAAAATACAGTAACATTAATTTTAGATAAGAGCTTTATTTAAATTTGTTAAGAGTTTTAAAAATAGAAAATTAATAACCTTCAAAAATATATTTAATTTTTTTATTAAAGAAAACTTATATTTAAAATTGAGAATATATTTGTGATTTATAATGTTCCATATAGATTCATTTATTACAAACTAATCTATATTTGGTAACCTATTTATTATTTATGGCAATAAACATGAATTAAAATATATCTGATACTTCAGGAATATTTGTTAATATTTATTTATTTATTTATTTACTATTAATATTTGTTGAGTACATATATATATATAAATTTGAAAGTAATCTATAAAAGGGAGGGACCAAACTCAGATTCACACGTCTATTTCGTAACGCGCGTACAGATCGCATTTTTCTTCTCCACCGTCACCGATGTAATTCATTTCAACTTCCAGGGGTACTTTCGTACTTTCCTATTTCATCACTTGCTCCGTTGGCCGATCACTCTACTGAACAAAAAAAAAATTATAAATAAACAACGAGGAACATAAACAACCTTTTCGCCCCCCCGCCTTTCTTCATCCTCTTAAGCCCACTCGGAGACGGAGGCCACCGCCACCGCCACCGCGCCGGCTGCTGTTTCCCTTCTTACTCGTTTCTGCAATGAGGTTACCGTCCTCTGCAATTCTTGTCCTCTTGCTATACTTTCACCTTCTTCTTTGCTTCGCTACTTTCCCTTCCCTTTCCATCTCCATCTTAACCGTCACTAAATCCGACTTGGTGTTCGGCGAGATCAATGCTACTTCCCATTCTAACTCCTTGAGATCCGCCAATGACGACCATAGTTTTGCTGATATAATCGATCAGGCTCTCGAGAGGGAATTCACTGAGAATGGGCAGAGTGATCAAGGTTTGTTGATCTGCCTTCCACTTCTCTTTTCCTTGCATTCTCTGTTGTTTTAGGGTTTGTAAGCTCCCTTGTTGGGCTGGAATTCCGTAATTTGCGGAATGCGTTTTTGTTCTTTCAATTCTTTGATTCTTGAACATTGATGCCAGTTTTTCTTCTTTCCTTTGATTTTTTCTGTTTCTGGTTAGTTCTTGTTCGTGCCTCTGTCGCGTATTCTTTTACGTTTACTTTTATGTTTGTTTCCACCTGTTCCAGTTACTCGTCAGGTGTTCTTACCTCGAGAGCTGTTTTACGTTAGTGATTTGGTTTGGTATTGGGAGTTTGTTGGAACTCATGTTCTGCATGCTCTACTTTGATGCCCCCGCGGTCTCCGGAAATGTGGAAAGTTAGTTAGCAGGAATTGAACTGGAAAGAGCTTTTGATGCACTATGGTCTTGGAAAATTATATAATAATTTAATAAATTCCATTACATTCCCGTATTCCTTTTGGCCTATTCTTGAGAAATTAACTATGGCTTCATTAAATTTATTGAGAGTATCCATGTTTTTCACTTTCCCTTGCAGTCGCGGATGCTGGCAGCTTCAACAACAGCGTAACTGATAAGCAGGTTAGGTTGACGTTTTTCCTGGTCACTGCCGGTCTTTTCTTTCTACGAACTTTTAATTGTAGAAAATCTAAATAATAGAATCCAGAAGCCAAACCAACCTGCTCTTTCTGTTCAATATGTATCCTTTTAATTAATTCAAATTTCTATTTGAACACGACAAGATTCCTCTGAATTCAAGCCATCAGATTTAAGTTCTCCGATGGGGTATTATCATCCTCTTGCGTCCCTCTCATTTTAACCAATGATTACTATGAGTAGTTTTAGGAACAAATTATCATGCCGTAGGAATTACAAAGGTGTTCAGTAATGTACTCCCAATGTTATGCTTTACTGGTCTTTTTAGCTGAAATGAACGTGTTTCCATCTGTCAGGCAGTTTTGGAGACTGTTGCCAGAGTTAAGTCAAAGAAGAACGAATCGAAAGAGGAGAAGTATGTTCTTCTTCTTCTTCCAGTTCATGTATACAAAGCTTGTTTTTCATAGGTTTGAATTAAAGTGTTTATCATGAATGCTAACCCATTATTAGAAGATGTGTTCTGATCTACAAAATTACATTGTAATAGTTCTTTTTATTTGCTTTTTTGGACCTTAGATCATTTCAGTTCCATGATGTCTTCAATTTAGATAATGAGAATCGAGCAGAAGACATGCCCACCTTAATTGATCGGAAGGTATGCCTAATGTGTATACTTGATACATTTCAACTTTTCATTATAAGTTCCACAATAAATATAATACTGTTCATGAAGTTGATTCTTTTTGATTAAAATGGATTATTTAATCAGGACAATGTCTTTATTATATCCAATCCCAAGTCGAAGTATCCAGTGCTCCAATTGGATTTAAGGTTGGCTTTTATGCACAGTCAACTTAGTCCTTGGGTCTCGTCTTTCTTCTTGATTCATTGTCATTTGGTATGCATTGACATGATGAAGGGTTACAGATCCAATCTCATCAAGTTGTTTTATATGCAGATTGATTTCGGATCTAGTCGTTGTTATTGTTTCTGCAACTTGTGGTGGCATTGCTTTTGCTTGTGCAGGACAACCGGTATGATTATCATCCTTCTTCTTTCCCTCTTTCTCTCTCTAAAGAATGAAAATCGTTATCATAGTCTAGTACCGTAGCATTCTTTTTGACCATGGCATAGATGCATAAGTGTTCTTGGAGAGCTCCTAGGATCATTGCCCAACGTGATAAATAACTTTGTTGAAAAGTCGCATGCAATGAGAAGAATACTTTATTTATCCTTTAAGGGTATGGATTTTTTCATCATGATTCTCACCCCTTGTTAGAACAGTTACCCTAAGAAATGAATATGCATCTTATTAGAGTTGTTGTGCTTATTTGGGTGTGTTTTCAGTAGTTTTTTTAGAAAATAATTTTTAAACTGTTTCCCATTGTTTTCTAAAACTAGTTACTGATCTATTTGAGTCTGACTTTTTTAATACAAAACAGATTCCAGTTTTTCGACTTCATTTCTAACTGGCTAACCTTTAAACATATGCTTTCATTTATAATTTTTTTTGCTTTACCTTGAGAGGGCAAGCGTCAGGGCACAAGCTTCAAAATTGTTTTGGCAGACCTTAAACTATTTTTCTTTGTAAATGTGCGATGGCATTGTAAATTCTGCAGGTCTTTACTGGATACCTGTTGGCTGGATCTCTCATTGGACCCGGAGGTTTAAGCTTTGTCAGTGAAATGGTGCAAGTATGTTGCATTTATGTCCATCTCATTTAATTAACAAATTTAGGAATCTCTCCCTGGTCCTTTTCTGTTGTTACATTTTTTTTTTATGATAGAGCCAATGGATATGCTTGTGGTTTTTGGGTACTGGATAAAATTTGTAAAGGGATTATAATGATTCATATGATAGGCATACAAGTATACTGCTGTTATGTTACAGATGACCATGTGTACCTTATATATTTTTTTATTTAATGAGAAAATGAGCTTTCATTGTGAACAAATGAAAGAATACTAAAGGGCATACAAAAAATCAGTCTAGCAAGTTGAACGACTCTAGACCCAAAGAACTACACAAAAACGGGTCCAATCTAAATGGACTAAACTTGGAGAGTAATTACAAAAAGCCTTGGTCACTGATGAGAGGAACACCTAACAAGGGAACCACATCTCTTCCAAATATCTCTCGAGCCCCTCAAAAACTCTCTTGTTTCTCTCCAAGCACATCTCCCAAAGAATAACAAAGAAGGGAAATTGCCACAAGAAGGGAGAATGTATAATGATAGGATCCATGGTGTTGACTCTCACACCCAAAACCTGCCAAGCAAAGAAACACACCTTCTTGGACATTTCAACTTTCCATGGGAGGTGAATGAAGGAGAATTGAGAGAAACTAGAGCTGCTCAGACGATGAAAGATATAAAAAAGAACACTTGTTTGAAGGCCATGGGGAACATATAAGAAGATCCTTACCCCCCGGTTGCAAGCTGTCTGAGTCC